TAATTTTGAATATGAGCAATTTAAAAAAAGGTAAATGGCTAAAAAAGAAAATTGAGAAGCAGAAATGATTCTTAAAAAGGAAGAATTGGAAATTGAACGAATTAAAGCTAATACATTACAGAAAAAGATGAAATTTGATATAAAGCAATTATGAATGCAATTTGAACTTAGAATGAAGAAATTGGATTTAAAAATAATGCAATTTAAACGGTCTTCAGAATAATAATTTAGTAATAATAATTGATAACAGTAATAATAGTAATAGTAATTGTAATAATAATAGTAATAATATTTTAATAAAATTTTGTATTATTTATCTAGTAAATTATAAATTTTAAGTTAAATAAATGATTACGCGTCAGGCATTCATATAAATTTAGTTAAGAATCATTTAAATTATTATTCTATTTTAACAATTCAATTTAAAAGTTCAATTTTAAAGTTAAAGTAATATTCAAATTTAATGTTAAAATAGTGTTTAATTTTAAAGATTATTAAATATTCAATTTTAAAGTTGGATAAGTATTAGTTTTTAAAGTTGAATAAGTGTTCGATTTTAAAGTTTATTAAGTGTTCAATTTTAAAGTTTATTAAGTGTTTTATTGTAATGTTAAAATTGTGTTTGATTTTAAAGTTAGATTAGTGTTTGATTTTAAAGTTAGATTAGTGTTTGATATTAAAGTTGGATTAGTATTCAATTTTAACGTTAGAATTGTGTTTGATATTAATGTTAGAATTGTGTTTGATTTTAACGTTCAATTACTGTTCGATTTTAAAGTTTATTAAGTGTTCGATTTTAATATTAGAATTGTGTTTGATTTTAAAGTTGGATTAGTGTTCGATATTAAAGTTAGATAAGTATTCGATATTAAAATTAGATTAGTGTTCAATATTAAAGTTAGATTAATGTTCGATTTTAAAGTTTAATAAGTGTTCGATTTTAAAGTTAAATAAGTATTTAATTTTAAATTTGGATAAGTATTAGATTTTAAAGTTGGATATGTGAATATTTATCAATTTGATAAAAATTTATTAGAGAATTGTTTTATTAAAAATGAAAAAATTTATGAAAAATATTGTCATAAAATTCAATCCCTTTTAGCCTGTCCAGCTCTTTTTAATATATCATCATTGTCTCTTGTATAAGTTAAAATATCATCATCATTTTCAATATTTGTATTATCTATATCATTAATGTCTCAAATATCCTTATTAATTTCCAAGAAATTATGTAAAATTATTGCATATATATAAATAAAATTCCTATTTTAACTGTTTTAATATCAAGATTCCTTAATATTTCAAATTTTGCTTTTAATCTTCCAAAAGCATTTTCTACTACAACTCGATGAGATGAATGAAATTGGTTAAAATCTTTTTGTTTTTGAGAATTTGGATCTTTAAAAGGTAAAATTAAAAAAGGTGAAATAGGATAAGCTGAATTTCCCAAAAGATGATCATTTTCTTGAATAAGATTAGAATAATTTTTATAAAACGAAGAATTTCTAAAACCCTAGTATCATATATAGAATCAGGCCAGCCTACATCATAATTAATAAAAATTCCCCTATCATTTACAATACCTTGACAATGAATAGCATATTGCTTTTTTCTAGTAAAATAAACTTCTGGATCTTTGCTTGGTGCATTTTTCATAATAATATGTGTTCCATCTACTACACCAATTACATTTTTTAATCCTCCTAAATTTTTAAACCCTTTGTGAACTTTTTTACGCTCTCTTGAAGTAGGCCATTTAATAAAGTTTTTTTTTGTGTCATACAGTCAACTCTTAATAAAGCGAACTCTTGATATCACGAATTTTTTGAACAAATATAATAAAAATACTCTTGTTATAGCGAATTGGCCAATCAAATCTCTTAAAATCTTCACTATAGCCTTATAGCGAAATTGAGGTCTAGGACATAGAGTTCGTTATAACAAGAGTTGACTGTAATTGCTTGAATAATTCATTTGGTATAAAGAATTACTGTTTCTTCTCCTATTCCAAAGCGCGAACAAACTCCAAATAAACTTCCAGTAGAACCAAGTCTACAAAGAAACACAGCTAATTGAAGCTCAACACAAACTTGCGGTTTTGTTCCTTGCGATAAAATACAGGATGGGAACGTATTAGATTAGCTAAGTGTTGAAAATTGTAGGGACAACATTCTCAAGAGTTTTTTAAATCGATTAGGGTCATATAAAGGAAGAACTTCTTGCCACCAATGTTTGGATTTTGCTACATGATATATATGTGGCTTTCTTCTTCCTCACTCAAATTTTCCTTCTCCTCCTCTTCATCACCTAAAAGAATAGGATATTATAATATAATCGTCGTTTCATATTATAAAACGAAGCCAATCATATTTAACAACATCGATCCGATCAATCAAATATATGCTCAATTGTAACAATGCTTCTGATTGGCTATTTATTTTTTTGGTCGTCTAGAATTGAACAGGGCTAAATTTTATAAATAAAATTATTTATATGTACGAAAACTAACCCGTAACATAGTTCCGAATTCGGAAATGCACATCAAATTTTAAGGAATCTGGACTTGTCATTAGACTTTACTAAAAAGAAAAGATTTATTTTTTTTAAATGAAAATAATGAGGTAACTTTGTTAGGAAAAAAAATTTTTTGATGTTTTCACATGCGTTACGTTTTGATGCGCCTAACCAATTAGATTCATGCACAAACATCTTTCGATTTCCCAAAATAAAAAAGGTGGGAAAAATAATCAAGGGCGATCATTCGAACAATGAGATTTTATCGGAAGTTTTCGTTGGGCATTCACGCCCAAATGATGTGAATAATTATGAAAATAGATGATTTTTTGTATATATAGTTGATTTGAATAAAAAATAATTCAAAAAAAAAAAAAAAAAATCAACCAACCTTCCTTCCAATAAACGAATATTATCGTTGCAAAATGACGACAATTCTTAAGAACGCGAATGATCATTATTCAAACGAATCACATCCGACAGCTAATCCAGGTCCATTAGGTAAAATTAAAAAATTTATAAAAATTATTTTATATATTTTTTTTCTTATTTAAAAAAATAACAATATTTACTGTAATATTAGCTCTAAGTGCATTTGCGATGAATACATTTGTATACTCGTTATATCTGGCCCAAGCTGCCGGAGTAAAAAATTCATCAGTCGGCTTAGGTTTAGCTTTGTTTTATGGTGGCGTAATTCAAGTCCTTGCTGGTATGTGGGAAATGAAACAAGGGGATACTTTTCATGGCACAGTATTTAGTTCTTATGGTAAGTTTTCCTACACGCAAAGTTATTTGTCTTGAGTGAAATATGCTAAAGGGATTTTTGTCGTTCGCTTTTAGGCGGATTTTGGATATCTTTTGGATTTATCAATTTTGAAGGATCCGGTATAATAAATAATTACAAAGGAGATACTGAAATGTTTAGTAATGCTCTCGGGGTCTATCTTGTAGGTTGGACAATATGTACGTATTATATACACAAAAATGGTTCGTTAAAATGAAAATTTATTTTTAACCCGAGATTTTTTTTTTCCCTCTCAATATTAGTTACCTTTTTCATGTGGCTTTGTGTCCTACGAACAAATTGGTGTATAATTACTGCTTTATTTTTATTATTCATCACTTACGTACTTCTCACTATTGGCGCTTTTACTGGAAATGACACCTTTGATCGTATCGGTGGTGTAATTGGAGGTAATTATAATTGAAAATTTTATTTTTTTTTTTATAACATTTTATAATAATACCGTGTTTCCCTTTTTTTTTTTTTAAAAAAAAAAAAAATCATTTAGTTGTGGTTGCTTTTATTGCTTGGTATATGGCTCTCGCGCAACTAATGAACAAAGAAATGACTTATTTCACCCTATCGCTTTTCCCAAGATTTCCTCCTATTCAAAACGAGGATGCTACGGTATAAACGGGATAATTAATTTTTACTTTTACTTCAAATCTTTAATAATAAACCTTTTCGAGAAAAGAAGTTATTATTACTGCCATTAAATAGAATTTCATAAAGAGTGAGATATAGACTTTCTTAATAATAGAAGTTTGAATTTTTCATTATGTAATCTAAGAATCTACCATATTTAGTACGTACTATACGTGCTGATTACTGCATAAAAGTTCATATGCTAAAATTAGGATTTTGAATCTAATACTAAAATGCAATAAAAATCGTTAAAAAAATTTCCCAGAACCAACAATCTTCCCATATGTGGAAAGTATGACAAATGTCATGTAAAACGTCCTCGTCACTTTCAAAAATTCCTTTAAATCCTAAGCCTTAATCTCTCATCAAAAGAAATAACTGAACACACGATTCACACACATAATTTTTTTTGTTAATATAACTTTAGAAATGGGAGGAAGTGTATGCATTTAACCTTTTATTATTATTATTATTATTATTATTATTATTTGATATATCTACATATACTATGTATTTTCGATAACAGACTTATACATTCGAGGTCGACCCAATGACTTGCTCAGGCTGTACAAAAGCTGTTGAAAAAGCATTAAAGAACCTCGGAGGTATACTTAAATTTATACATCATTTTTTTTTTTTTTTTTGCTGTTGAATTAATTGACTTTTACATTTTCTTAAAAACAAAAAATTTGTAAAGGTGTGGATTCAATTAGTTTCAATCTTGAAAAAAAGATCGTAACCGTTGAAACCGAAAGATCTCCTAATGAAATTATCGAAGCAATCAGCAAAACAGGGAAAACAGCCGTTACAAAATCTTAAATTTTGCTAAAATCTTATTTAATTTCCATTTAACTTCTATATATTTTTTTTATTAAACATATATAATTTTTTGTCCAAGGAATGATTAAAAAAATCATTTTTATTAGTAAATATTTTTTAACTCGAACAAACTTCAATTAAATTCGGTTTTTAAAAATGAATGTATTGTAATAAAAAAAAAAAAAATTCGAATTCCTCAAAGAAATAAGATAAAAATTTACGTGTAAAACCCGTTATTCGGTTATTGGCAATATCTCATAAAACAGAGCGGTTTCAGTACTTGATCCTTCCCAACCTCTATTACCAGAAGTTGTTATCATATAACGACAATTGCGATCAATCACTAAAATTAGAAATGAAACAACAAATAAAAAATTATTGTTGTTAAGGAGAATTATTGTAATAAAAAATCGTGGAATTTTTTTTTTTTTTTTTTTTTTTATAGAAAAAAAGGATACATATTTGCGAAATTGTTCCACCATGATGTCCGGGAACAATTAAAAATGGTACAGCCAATTTGTAAGATTCGGATTCATCTGGAGCAACATTCCATAATCTTATATTATCTGTTGATGCACTATAAATCAAAGTAGGAAAATGATCAATATGTTAAATCATCGTGGTTTATGTCTCTTGTCATTATTGCACTCTCAAAGATTTACCAAACTATATGTCTTCCATTTGGCATACTTGCTACATAAGACACTGGACCAGACCCACTTGGCATCTTAAGCGTTTGAATACATTTTCCCGATAAGAAATCCCATTCGTCAACTAGACATAATTTAGAAATTAATTTTTGATACTAATTATCATCCAAATATATATATACACATATATGCACTCACCGGTACCATTACGTCGACCACAATAAATTTTAGATCCATTAGCGCTCCAGCATGCCTAAATTTTTTTTAAGAGTTTTTTTAAAAAAATAAAGATTATTTAAACATTATACGTTAAGATCTTTACAACTCTCGGACACCATAATAATCAAGTCACGTGAATATAATATAATATCATATATTTGATCTGTAAGTAACACAATAGACCCTAACCTCAAGTGAATTTTTCCTTTGAAGTCAAGGTCACGTGACTTAATTATTTGTGGCCAAGATTAAAAAAGAAATTAAATTAATTACATACCGATAAACACCATGGAGGGGTTCTCTCGGGAGGTGTCATTTTTCTCGGTATCGAATTCTTTGCTCTTTTATCCCATACAAAACAATTCCCATCAATACTAGTGGTTAGTAATACATCGTTCGACTGCGTCAACATATCTTCAGGTGCATCGAAAAGTGGATCAAATGATCCGGGAGAACTTTGTCCTGATGTACAAGAAGATGTGGTGGTAACTGGGCGAAATGATATGGAACTAATTTGTGAACCATGGCCTGAAAACTCGCGTACAACTTGACCAGTATTAAGATCCCAATGCTGTATAAAAAATAAATAAATAAATAAATAAAATAAAATAAAAAGTAAAACGATCTCACTTACCAGTACCGTTTTATCCCAAGAACCACTCACGCATCCAGTTTCATCTTGTGTTATTTTTAATACTGAAACCGGAGCCTTATGTTGTCGTAAAACGTGATGGCATTTCCCTTCTTCATGTCTGACAGTGAATAAATTAATAGCGCCGCTCTGGATGCACACGTGTTATTTAAACTTTAATGACATAAACGAAGAAAGTAAAATATCCGTGACGAATTCAAACTGATGTATTGGGTGATTAAATGCCATCACAACTCTCGCAAGACTTGGATATATGTAATATGTGAACCTCGCATGATATATAAACTTACCTCCATTCCAGTTACAAGCCAAACAGCTTCAGATTGAACCGCCAAACTGTATACTGGCGACATTTTGAGTTCCTGAACCGGAGGTTCGGGTATAATTATTGGAGTTGCACCTTCTTCTGAAGGCCCATTTGTTTTTTCTAATGATATATTTTTATAATTAATAGTTGTTAGTAAAATCTATCAAAAATGAATAAGTTTCGCGACTTACCAGGTTTAGGGATCGAAGATGGCAAAGGTTGCTCTTCGTTCTCCCAGTATGAAACAATTACACCTGCCTATTCTTACATATTAAAAATGAGTAAACTTTTACATAAAGTGTTGATCATTTTATAATAGGATAATAATTACCTATCGCACCTTTTGAACGGATTCCACTTGGGCATGCTTTTGATTTTGCGTTAATAACGTTTTACCTCCCATTGAAGCGAAAAAATCGTATTTCCTCACAAAACCATCATCACCGCCTGTAAATATCCAACGCATATTTTTTGTCGCGTCAAGTGCGTAAATTTGACATGCTTGTATGGCCGCTACCTAACGTTTTAGAAATTTATTGAGTTTGTGCTTAATAAAACAAAGGTTATTAATAAACTTACGTAAGGCACAATATCATAGGTTTTGCAATCATCAGCGAATTGCTGAAGTGTGCGATTCGTGTGGGTAGCAGGTGTTTGTGCGGAGTTTGAATTTGGAAAATTAAAGGGGGCAACGTCCTCCAAGTCTAAATTTTCTATATTTAAATAACAAGGATATGTTAAATTACAAAACGCGTCAGTAAATTAGGAAACAATTTTTTTGAAAAATAAAAGTACCGTCAGAATATGGAGAACGATCGGGGGCTTCTGCGTCTGAACTTTGCTGAGAATCTCTAGAGTCAATATCATCTTCACTATCATTCTCCATTTTAACGTTATTATTTCTTTTAAAAGACGTGAAGTTTCTTAAACTTCAGAGAAATTTTGAAAATATATTGCTATATTGGGATAAGCACGGACCACAGTTAGTGTTGTACAAAAGAGTGAGGCTTTCTTAGAAATACCCGTGATTTCTTTGATTGTGGGTTTGTCTTTCTGCGGGGTCATGAATGGTCATATTTTTGGATATCATATTTTGTTTAAAAAAAAATTAGAACTCTAATCATTTAGACAATAAAGAGTTTTGAAATTTAATTATTATTAAAGTAATATTACTGGTGTTGGGTAGGGATTTCTAAAAAATATATCACGATACTCTTAAGTTTGAGAAGGAACTACTTTAAGCAAATGATTTATAAGGCTAGTTCAAGTGAGGAGGAGGATTAAAATCGCGGGTTTTTTTTTTTTTCTTCATCCAAATCATCAAAAAAAGCGTAACACCCTTTTGGAATAAATATTTAATTCGATGATCTTTTCTTTCTTAAGGATTCTGCGTATCGAGCCACTATTTTTCTTTCTCATTAGTTTCTTTTTCAATTTGTACTGTATTAGATTTGCTGATATCATTTTTGATTAATAACACAAATAGAGCAAGCAATATTGGTAAATTTATCAAGATTAGCATTAGGTAGGGCTCTTAAAAAGGAACAATTTTCGGTCTCGACCTTTTCTCGTTGAGAGGAAATATAATAAAATAAATAATAAACCTTATCTTTCTTTAAAGTTACACTTCGAAATAGTTTAACCGGTATCATTTTGATATTTTTCCGCAGATTTTAAAAACCAATACATTAAAAAAAAAAAAATGCTTTTCCCTTTAAGGACGACGCGTTTTGTGTCGAGATTACCTTTAACGTTTTCAATTATAAAATCATCTATTAAAATTAACAATGCAAAGTATTATACTAAGACCCCATTGATGAATAAAGGCAGATCTTCCAAGAATCCTTCAGTAAATTATGGAATTACTGCTTCAGTGACCGCATTCTTTCTTTTATGCGGTGGATTTCATTTTTATTACAATAATGAAAGTTTTCAAGTATGATATTTTTTTTTTTTTTTTTCATTTTTAATTGAACATTTAATATTGGAATTTTTTCTTTGTATTGATTGTTTAGCTTACCAGAAAAGTGGAATGCAACGCTTCGGTAACTTTTTTTTTTATATATATATATATATATATATATGATCATCATGTTTAGGAGAATTCCATTTATATATATATATTTTTAGAATATCGATATCAATGATCAGAACATACCTATACGCGATAGAATGGAAGAATACGTAAAAATTTTACAACGTCGTATCATTAAAGAAATCGAATTGGTTGATGGTAACAAATTCAAAATTGATCGTTGGGAAAGACCTCAAGGTGGTGAGGGAATTTCTTGTATCTTGCAAGATGGAAAAATTTTTGAAAAAGCCGGTGTAAATATTTCAATCGTTCATGGGAATTTACCTGAATCAGCAATACAGCAAATGAAATCTCGTAATAAAGACCTTGATCCGTCAAATGGACCTTATCCATTTTTCGTCGCAGGAATTTCAATAGTTATGCATCCACATAACCCTTATGCACCAACTATACATTTAAATTATAGATATTTTGAGATCAATAATGCAAATGGAACTAAATTATGGTGGTTCGGAGGTGGATCCGATTTAACACCTTCTTACCTTTTTGAGGAAGACGCAATTCACTTCCATAAAACATTAAAGGATGCATGTGATAAACATGATCCCTCATATTATCCTGAATTCAAGAAATGGTGTGATGAATACTTTTATTTAAAGCATCGTAATGAATCACGAGGGGTTGGTGGTATATTCTTTGATGATTTAGACAGAAAACCTCAAGAAGAAATATTTGCTTTTATAAAGCAATGTGGTGATGCTTTTCTCCCTTCTTATGTTCCGATCATTCAAAAGAGAAAAGATATGAAATTTGGTGAAGAGGAGAAACATTGGCAACAATTACGAAGAGGAAGATACGTTGAATTTAATCTTATATGGGATCGTGGAACAAAGTTTGGATTACAAACTCCGGGTGCAAGAATCGAAAGTATATTTATGTCATTACCTCTAACTGCAAGATGGGAATATATGCATAAACCCGAGAAAAATAGTCGTGAAGATAATTTGATGGAAGTGTTGAAAAATCCGCGTGATTGGGTAGCATAGTATATATACAAATCATTCAGGTTTTATGAAATAAAACTATTTGTTAATTGCTGTGAAGTCAAATATTTTTTACCTATGAATTTAAAATAAAATAATCGTTCTTCCCTGTGTCATGTTTTGCTGTGATCTCATATAATCAACGAAATTTTTTTATCAATAATTCACTCAATTTATATTTATCTAATTTATTAAAATGTCTTTAATTTTTTTTTAAGTTATTGGTAATCTATACAAAATTCTACCGATTCAATAATAAAAAAAATTTGTAAATAAATAAACAAACGAATAATAAAAAAATAAAAATAATAATTAAAACTTGTAAATAAATAAACTAATCAATCAATCAATCAGTCAGTCAATCAAATAAAATAGTTGTTTTATGATACAATCATTAAAGAAAAATAATAAAATCAAAAAAAAAAATGGCATATAAATTTCATTATGCCCAGACTGGTACACCAGACACTACTTCTTTTGGTTTAACTATTTGTCCAATTAAAGCTTGAGATATCAACTCATGTTCTTCTTGAATATGCTGTTTCTTGTTACCGGTTGCGGGAGATGCTGAAGGTAATCGAGTAGCAGGCTTAGCAGCTTGACCTAAATAAAATACATTTTTTTAAATTAATTCATTGTTGATCAACATAGAATAATTGGGCAAGAAAATCACAAGTTGATCATATGACCACATGGCATACGCACCCTCATGAGTTTTTGAATGGTTCATTAAAGTTCGAATTCTCGGTGCAACATATGTCCATGCACCTGAATTTAGTGGTTCTTCCTGTGCCCATATAAGTTGAGCATTAGGATATTTGTCAACATGTTCAGATAATAAATCGTACGGGAAAGGACATATTTGTTCCAGTCTAGAAATGGCAACGTGACTCATTTTATTTTGATCACGAGCTCTGAGAAGGGCATAATAAACTTGCCCGGAGCATAAAACGTGTCGTGTTATTTTTTCAGGTGATTCTAACGTTTCTGGGTGTGGATCGGGTATAACTCGTTTAAAGACACTATCTCCAGTCATGTCGACAAGAGAAGAACGTGCCATTGGATGACGAAGAAGACTCTTAGACGTAAAGACTATAAGCTAAATTCCATAATTATAAATTTTCGTTAAGGATGATGATATTTTTAAAGGTAATAAAATTTATTAAATTATTGGAAAAACTTACTGGCTTTCTAAAGTCACGATGAATTTGTCTTCTCAAAACGTGAAAATAATTTGCAGGTGTAGTAGCGTATACTACTTGCATGTTACAGTCCTGATGTTGGCGTGACATTTTCTCTGGAGAAGGATAAACGTATGGATGATCATCACATAATTGAAGGAAACGTTCAAGACGTCCGCTGGAATGTTCAGGACCTTGTCCGTCATACCCGTGTGGTAATAAAACAACCAACCCAGTACGCTGCAACCATTTCTTTTCACCGGCAGCGATAAATTGATCAATTATACATTGAGCATTATTTACAAAATCACCGAATTGAGCTTCCCATAAGATAAGAGAATTAGGATTGACTAGAGAATATCCAAGTTCGAATCCAAGGGTTCCGAATTCAGAAAGAGAAGAATTACAAACGATAAATGGAGCCTGACCAGGTCTTAAATCATTTAGTGGTATATACTGTGTCTCATTTACTTGATCATGAAGTACTGCATGACGTTGTGAGAAGGTCCCACGTTCAACATCTTGGCCTGATAAACGAATATGTTTGCCTTCAAGAAGTAATGAACCAAATGCAAGACCCTCGGCAGTAGGCCAGTCAACTCCTTGTCCTTCGTTGACAGCCTTAGAACGAGTTTTAAGGATTCTCGCTAAACCTGGATGTACGTTAAAACCTTTTGGATATGAACTGATAACTTCACCAACGTGTTGAAGTAATTCATCCGATGCACCAGTTGGATATGCAGGTGTAATCTCTTCGGCAAGCTCTTTGGGTGATTTGAAACCTTTAACAAAACAATTATGATTATTATGATTTGAAATCTTAGGATTATCTCATATAAAATAATTCATTGAAAACGAAAATAATTATTACCATTCCAAGAACTGGATAACCATTCACGACTTGTAGGTTTATAATCCTTGCTTTTATGGTAACTTTCTTCCAAAGTATCCCAAACCCATTTTTTATGCTTCTGAATATCTTCCATAGTGAATGTATCATCTTTCAATAACTTTTGAACATATTTATCAAGAATTGGTGTTTGCTTAGCTATTTGTTGGTACATTCTAGGTTGCGTGAAACTAGGTTGATCAACTTCGTTATGACCATATTTACGATAGCAAACCAAATCGATAACGACATCCTTTTTAAATGTTTGTCTCCACTCAGCGGCCACTTGACACACAAAATTCACTGCCTCAGCATCATCACCATTAACGTGGAAGATGGGTGCATTTACTACTTTAGCAATATCCGAGCAATACGGTGTTGAACGAGCAAATCGAGGATCTGTGGTGAAACCAATTTGATTGTTGACGACTATATGAACAGTGCCACCCGTTGTATAACTTGGCAAATCGTGAAAGCCCATTGTTTCATACACAACTCCTTGAGCCGCAAAAGCAGCATCTCCATGTAACAATAAAGCCATTGAACGATGGCGTTCTTTTTCATCATTCATATAATGTTGAAGTGCACGAGTCTTGCCAAGTACCACGGGATCGACCGCTTCTAAATGTGATGGATTAGCAGCCAAGGAAAGGTGTACACGTTTGCCAGAAGGAGTGGGTCGATCGTAGTTCATACCCAAATGGTATTTCACATCACCAGACCCTTCATCTGATGGTTCGACAGAACCGCTGAATTCACAAAAAATAGATTCATTTGGTTTACGAACCACATTGCTTAGTACATTAAGACGTCCACGATGCGCCATTCCTAATACAATTGACTCTATACCAAGATCAACCGATCGGTCAATCTAACGAAGAATAGTTAGCAAATTATTTTTATACCATAAAAAAAAAAAGAGTCCTTTCGCCTTGGGTTATATCTTACCAAAGCTTTCATTCCCGGAATCAAACTTTCACAGCCTTCCAAACCGAATCTCTTTTCATTTGGATATTTTGTGGAAATAAATCGTTCAAACGAATCGGACCATATTAATCGATCTAATATCATGCGTTTCTCTGCAATCGTGTAATCATATGGCTTTGGAATCTCTACTTTGGAGCGAATCCAATCGCATTGGACTCGATCGGGAATATGAATGTATTCGATACCGATAGTACCACCTATGGAATAATTTAAAAAGAAGGAATTAATTCGATAAATCTTAGTTACATTATATGATCTACGTCTTTTAAATATTCTGCACCCAAAGTTAAAGTTACCATCAAATTTACTTACTATATATCTTCTTACATATGTCCACTATTTCTCGAAGTGTCTTTTTTTTTCCAGTCGCAGCAAACTCGGGCAAGATACCAGGACCGAGTGAAAATTCTTTTTCTAAATCTTGTTCAGAAAATCCATAATGTTTCGGATCAAGTTCTTTTGGAACTGAACCGTCTAAATCTGCATTTAAAATTCCTAAAGGATCCAACTTTGCAATATGATGTCCACGAACTTGAAATGCTCTTACTAATAATTGGACTTTCATATGGTTATTAACATCATATGAACTGGAAGTATCTGTCGGTACTACTGTGGTAGCCGACCCAGTCAAAGGAACGATTGTTGGTGGAGGTTGGTAGGCTACTCTCGGATTTATACCAGACTGTATATTCTTAAAATACACCTGCCATGACAAATGAACTGAAGAAGGATCTTTTAGCCATGCTTCATACATTTCTTCAATGTAAGTTGCTGTATTTCCTTGAAGAAAGACATCGTTTGGAGAAACTGAAGGTTGCGGGTATATAGAATTTACAGCAGTAACTTTATTACGAATAGCACCAAGGGAAGAAACAACTGGATAGCGTAACTTTATGGAGGAAGCAACTCGAAGCTTTACCGCTTTTGACTTTAAAAGAGAATGGGTAGGTCTTAATGCACGAGACCAAATTGCTGAGGACATTTTTTACGAGCAAAAAAACCACAAAGTATTTTGATTTATATGATTTATTTATGTAGATTCTCATTATGTGCCACCCGGATCTTTTCGGAGAATAAAAAAAAAAGAAACTGTCAAATTAAGGATTTAACCCAAAGTGATCTAACCTCCAGATGGTAATATTAGTATCTATCTATAAATAAAATTCCTTATAAATCGTTATCAAAATCTCGGATGATTAACCGATTATTAACCTTAAATTATTTAGTTTTTATTGGTCAAAAACGTTCAGGCCCGGAACTCATATATGTCACAATGACTGGCTTTATTAAAAAAGTACCATACCATGTTTGTAATGAAAAGATTATATCATTTCACGGCACTAATACGATCATAAGAATTTTAAATGAAAACATATTAAAAATTAAAAATGTTTATAAAAATATTATTCTTCGATTATAATATGTTGTAATTCAGTTGAATTAAAAGATAAATTTCAAGTGAAAATAGAAGCGATCTTAGTACTTTGAGCAATTTCATTTATAGATTATAGATAACTTTCCAATTTTTCCCATTCTGATCTACTTAAGGAAACTTCCCCGTACTTTTTCTTAATTTCAGGAAGAATTCTCCTTAATTCATTCATTTCATCCTCTGAAAGTGATTTAGAGGAATTCTGAAGTTTGGTAAATAATGTACGTAGTATCTAAAAAGAAATGAAAAGGATCAATTAAAATTGGTTTCAAAGTACTGACCGATATGATTGTTTTATAAATTATTACCTTATCAGCTAAATCTTCATCATCACCATAAGTTCCTAACAGTTTAATCATTTGCATAGCCAATCCTTTTTCTTCTATTCTGGCGGCCACTGTAGTTGTATCTTGGAGAAGCAACGTATTAAATAAAAATACCACTTTACGAAGAATGGGAAGATCTATGAAAGAAATTTGGTTAAAACATTTTATCCTATGAATCACTTGATGATATATTACATACCATTAGATGTTTGCAGTAAAGATAATAATATTTCATAGCCTCCCTCCTTTTCAAATTGTTCTAATCCAGGTGGATAATGTTTGATAGCTCCTATAAATAAAAAAATTTTATTAATTGAGCAATTTACAAATAAGTGCTAAAAAAAAAAAAAAAGAATTCTAAAATTTACCGGAAATAGCATATAAAGCTTTGCTTCTAACTTCCTTATCTTCTTCTTGATTATTTAACAAGTTCAATATAAGTCTTATACCTCCTTTCTCTGCAAACTAAAACAATTTAATACTATGAATATTACTTAAAATATTTATTAAAAAGATCGGTTTAAAACTTACGGCTTTTTGTGCTTTAAGGTTATTTTGTACGGCAGTTCCGCATACCCATACAGCATGTACTCGAAGTGATGTCTCAGGAAATGAAAGAAACGATAAAATTTTTGGCCATAAATTCATATTTTCAATGTCTAAGAATTAATTAAATTAGTAATAGCAAATATGTAAGATATTTATTAATTATCGTACTAACCGTTAGCATTGTCTATCTGTTCCACTAGCTCCATAATTAAATATTAAAAAAAAAATTATGAGTATCTGTGATTTCAAAATAAAGGGTTAAAGAAAGTAATAACATACCATTTCCAGATTGTCAAGTGCAATTTCTCTATTCTCCAAAGTATCATTAGTATTGGATATAACCTCAATAGCCTCTGCATAAAACAAAAGTGAAAAAAAATATAATAAAATATTTATAATGCAATTATTTTATTATTATAATAACCTCGAATTTGAGTAGCGTCACTTTTTCCCAGAATTACATCAATAATTTCAGAATCCTAAAGAAAAAAATGTCGCGCGTATTTAATAATAAATAAGAAATAAAGACGAATAAAATAAAAAAAAATTACTATTTTTCTCTTTTCTGGATCATCCTGAGGCGGAGGTTGTGAGCTTCTGTTTAGATCACTATTTTCAACCGACCACTTTAGAAGTTTTTCCATTTTAAAACTTTCTAAGAAAAACAAATTTTGTTTGAAAACAACTAAAACAACTTAAAATTTAAGGTTTGTGAATTTGTGAAACTTCCAGTTCTGATTGATATTTGTCACGTAAAAACAATTTCTGTCGAACGCCTATATTAGGCCTGTTCATTTCCCGGTCGGTCGGTTTTTCGGTCAGTTTTGTCCTACCCAAATTTGACGAATAAAATCATCTTATTTAAGTTTGTAATTTGAGCTGCAACAGTTCGTAATTAAGTTCGAACTATGCATAAATAACGAATAATAATTCTTTTAAATTGTATAATGTTGAATGAGTACTAGTTTGTACAATTATCATGTCTTCTAATAAGCAAGAGTTACAAGAAGTATTAGAAAGTTGTATTATTGAGAAAATAATACGTGAATTAAATGAAGACGATTCCACAGATTCAGATGCAGATGATGATGACGAAATTTTTATTCTTGACTTACTAGCTTTAAATGAGGTTCGTTATATTGAACCGCACGTGTATAATGTATTTAAATCACAAAGTTGGTATCATAATATTCTACCTACTTATAATGATATAAGATTTAAAAAAATAATGAGAATGCTTCCTAAAAGTTTTGAATCTCTAGTTAATTTACTTAAAAATCATCCAATTTTTGAGTCCGGTAGTAATAAATTACAAGCTTCTACAGAATTTCAATTGGCTGTATTTTTGAGAAGATTGGGAACTAAAGAAGACATATTCGCAATATGTTCGCATTACAGAATAGCTGAGGGAACTGTAATTTTGTATTGTAAGCGTGTAATGAAAGCAATTATTTTCAATAAAGAAAGTATATTAAGTAGCCAACAACAGATCAAGCAAGAAACTTTGTACATAAGGGTTTAAAGCAATTGGTGGTATTGAAGAAATTATTGGGCAATAGATAGCACCCATTTTATTCTTCAAAATGTTTCACAAAAAGATAAAGAATTTTACTTTACAAGAAAAAAGAGATATGCTTTACATTGTCAAGGAATAGTCGATTTTAGAGGTATTTTCATCAGTTATGATGTTGGTTAGCCTGGTAGTGTCCATAATGCAAAAGTATATCGTCATTCTTCTTTTTATTTAAATAAATCTTCTTTTATTAAAAATAATGATTTTTTAATTGGTGATAGTGCATACCCTTTGTCACCATTCTTAATAAAACCTTACAGTAGACCTAATAATGAACAGAAAAGATTTAACGAAATTTTTTCATCACATCATATTGTAGTAAAACATTCATTTGGCAGATTAAAAAATAGATTTATGGGAGTAAGAGAAATATTTGTTAAAAAAATTTCAATTGCAATCAATTTAATTGATTGTGTTATTATTTTACACAATTATTTGGAATTAGTTAATGATATATGGGAAGAACAAAATGATGATAACTTTACTGATGATAGTGAATTAAATAATTATAATGATGATCATGATGAATTAAAAAGAGCTGGAGAAGTAAAATGAGAATGGGTTATGAGAAAATTATTTACATCATTAGAATAATAAGCAATTATCAATAAATATAAAGAAAATTTAAGTTTTATCATTATTTCTTATTATTATTATTATTTATTATTATTACTATTATTATTAACTATTATTACTAACTATTATTACTAACTATTATTATTGTTTATTACATTGCTTTAACTGTAAATCTAATTTTTTCATTGTTAATTCATGCAGCATCTTTGATTGTTCCCGCTCATATTCCCATTTTTGCTTCTCAACTTCCAACTTTTGTGATTGAAGTTTGAAATCATTATTCATTCTTTCTCGTTCTAATTCTAATCTTTGTTCAGAGATTTTAATTTTTGTTTCACTGATGTTATTCATAACCTCAAACCAAGATTCAATATTATTTTTCTTTTTTTTAATTACCTTTCTATTATCTTTCTCACCCTTCATATTTTGATTATTATCCATTTCATCACTGATATAACCTGATTTTTCATTTGAAAGATATGAAGGTGAAACATTTTCGTGACATCTGAAAATTTTATCCATAATATCCATCCATTTTGGTCAAGGTTTTTAGACATAATGTATCAAAATTGTCCACTCTTCACGACTCGTCAAGTTAGTTTTATTATATTAAACCTTGCAGTAAGCTATACATTTTTTATTTTACTACATTTATTAATAATATTCTCTTTAGAATAAATGAATATCTTGTTCCTGATATTAAAAACTTATTTCATGATATGCATAGAAAAATGTATAGCTCAGAAACTCTCCATGACTTCTCCATGTCTACGAATATAAAAATTTTTTGCCCTCTATAACCAGTGTTATATGATCATTATTTATGCTTCTAGTATCACATCAAAAAAACAATCAACGGTTGGAAAAGATTATGGTAAATACACCATTAAAAAACACTTTTATCCTTGAAATTATCTGTTTATAAGGAAGTTTTTGTGGTAATGATGATAATAAATAGAAAACTAGTAAGATATCATGACCTTTAGGATGAATAATACAGAAAGTAGCATTTAATGAAGTAGCAGTGAATCTTGAACAAGGGATAACTAAATTAATTACGAATTAGGAGGAAAAATTAATCGTAGAAAAATTTATTGCAATATGCTTAAATAAATAATACAATTATCATTACATTTAATGATTGCTAATCTTGTAATATCATGATTAAATAAACTCTTTCTGTAACACGACCAAAATGTAATAATCATATAGTATACGGTTATGTAATTAAATAGGTTTTAAATAGGCCTGTTCATTTTCAGTCAGTCAGTTTTTTCGTTCAGTTTTTGTTAAATTTGGTTGGACTGATCTTTTTGTATAACGTGAACTAATTCTGAACTTTAAAAACAAAAAAATTGGTGTTTTTTTAGTTCAAAAAAAATAACGCATCACGTCAACCAACCAGAAGCGTGAGAAATAAAAATTTTCTCGTTAAAAATTGTCAAAATATCTTCTCGCCAAGTTGACGCTAATGGTTTTCAAGGTTCTCAAAGCTATAAAAATAACTAAAACTTACGAAAATACAGACCTTTAGCTCCAAAGTTACCATATACTCAAATGGTTGATAGCTCTTCTCGGCAATTTTTAAATTTCCAATTAACATCTAAGTCAGGTACTCAAGTATTAAAACCAAGTACTCCGATGGTAGCTGCTGATATAAACACTCGAGTAATAGAAAGGTCAAACATTATCGTTGATACTACTACAAGGGAAAGACCAAATGATTATGATTCATTATTGCATGAAACTAATGTTCTTCAGCCTAAGGAAAATACTGGTTTTTTGTTACATGATGTTAACTCTGAACTTGATCCCCGATATCAAGAGGATTTTGATCAAGAGAACTTAATGGTGAGGATAAAATCTCAGCTTTTATAATTAAGTATTTTGGTAACTGACTTTGAAATCAATTTAGGATTTGGAAAAAGTGAAGAAATTAAGACAAGAAAAGAAGAAGCGAAAAATTTCTGATGATCAACCTCAAACTATTGATAGATGGAGTGATGACGAAACATATAAACTATTGATTTATCTGGAAGATAATTTCAATAAATATCAGAAGGGAAAAAAATCTGAATTTTATGCTTTGGTTTCTAGAGATATTATTAAATCAAAAACTGCAGAAAGTATTAAAGGGCGATTAAATAGACTCTTGGAAAAGTATGGTAAAGTGAAGCAAGAAAACAATCAAAGTGGATCAGGACGAGTTGACTGGAAATGGATGGATATTATGAATAAAATTTTTGGATGTCGCAAAAATGTTTCACCTTCATATCTTTCAAATGAAAAATCAGGTTATATCAGTATCAGTGATGAAATGGATAATAATCAAAATATAAAGGATGAGAAAGATAATAGAAAGGTAATTAAAAAAAAGAAAAATAATATTGAATCTTGGTTTGAGGTTATGAATAACATCAGTGAAATAAAAATTAAAATCTCTGAATAAAGATTAGAATTAGAACGAGAAAGAATGAATAATGATTTCAAACTTCAATCACAAAAGTTAGAAGTTGAGAAGCAAAAATGGGAATATGAGCGGGAACAATCAAAAATGCTGCATGAATTAACAATGAAAAAATTAAATTTACAGTTAAAGCAATGTAATAAACAATAATAATAGTTAGTAATAATAGTTAGTAATAATAGTTAATAATAATAGTAATAATAATAAATAATAATAATAATAAGAAATAATGATAAAACTTAAATTTTCTTTATATTTATTGATAATTGCTTATTATTCTAATGATGTAAATAATTTTCTCATAACCCATTCTCATTTTACTTCTCCAGCTCTTTTTAATTCATCATGATCATCATTATAATTATTTAATTCACTATCATCAGTAAAGTTATCATCATTTTGTTCTTCCCATATATCATTAACTAATTCTAAATAATTGTGTAAAATAATAGCACAATCAATTAAATTGATTGCAGTTGAAATTTTTTTAACAGATATTTCTCTTACTCCTATAAATCTATTTTTTAATCTGCCAAATGAATGTTCTACTACAATACGATGTAATGAAAAAATTTGGTTAAATCTTTTCTGTTCATTATTAGGTCTACTGTAAGGTTTTATTAAAAATGGAGACAAAGGGTATGCACTATCGCCAATTAAAAAATCATTATTTTTAATAAAAGAAGATTTATTTAAATAAAAAGAAAAATAACGATATACTTTTGCATCATGGACACTACCAGGCTAACCAACATCATAACTGATGAAAATACCTCTAAAATCGACTATTCCTTGACAATATAAAGCATATCTCTTTTTTCTTATAAAGTAAAATTCTTTATCTTTTTGTGGAGCATTTTAAAGAATAAAATGGGTGCCATCTATTGTCCCAATAATTTCTTCAATACCACCAATTGCTTTAAACCCCTTATGTATAAAGTTTCTTGCTTGATCTGTTGTTGGTCACTTAATATACTTTTCTTTATTGAAAATAATTGCTTTCATTACACGCTTACAATACAAAATTACAGTTCCCTCAGCTATTCCGTAACGTGAACATATTGCGAATATGTCTTCTTTAATTCCCAATCTTCTCAAAAATACAGCCAATTGAAATTCTGTAAAAGCTTGTAATTTATTATTACTGGACTCAAAAATTGGATGATTTTTAAGTAAATTAACTAGAGATTCAAAACTTTTAGGAAGCATTCTCATTATTTTTTTAAATCTTATATCATTATAAGTAGGTAGAATATTATGATACCAACTTTGTGATTTAAATACATTATACACGTGCGGTTCAATATAACGAACCTCATTTAAAGCTAGTAAGTCAAGAATAAAAATTTCGTCATCATCATCTGCATCTGAATCTGTGGAATCGTCTTCATTTAATTCACGTATTATTTTCTCAATAATACAACTTTCTAATACTTCTTGTAACTCTTGCTTATTAGAAGACATGATAATTGTACAAACTAGTACTCATTCAACATTATACAATTTAAAAGAATTATTATTTGTTATTTATGCATAGTTCGAACTTAATTACGAACTGTTGCAGCTCAAATTACAAACTTAAATAAGATGATTTTATTTGTCAAATTTGGGTAGGACAAAACTGACTGAAAAACTGACCAACCGAAAATGAACAGGCCTATAGATGATCAAAGTTTGTTTATACGGTATTGCTATATTTGGTTATCAGTCTCGTGCTTGATATAAATAAATCATCAATTTTTAAATACTGCAAATAGATATGGGATAAATCAACTTTTTTTTTAATGAATAAAAGGAAGTTTCTTTATAAATATCTTTTTTTTTTTTTAGATTTTCAGAGAAATCAATTTAATGGCTCAGAAATGTGGAAAACAAAATCTTTACAATACGGTTTCCTTTCTTTCAGATACTTTTCAAAGAGTTTATTTCTTATAACAAAGTCATGTATTGACATTTATATTTTTTAATGTTCTACATTAGAAATAACAACACCATCTATCCCTAAGATCAAAATCATCATCCAGTTTCAATGATAAAAATGTTCAGGTCCATGATAGAGTATTAGAATTATGATAATTATTCAGAAATTAATATATGAATGCATCTAAGTCAAGTGAGACCTAATATACCAGTTCAAACTCTCACTCTCACAATAAAAGTAATAAAAAGATAAACAAAGTATCCTTACCAAAATTGCAGGATATGCTGTGTCATCTTTTTGATCAATTGAAAGACGAACTTCACGACTTTACAGAAAAGGATATGTAGCTTCTGAATACAGACTGTAGAGAAATTTTTGCTAAAATCTTTGGAATCACTAAAATTTTTCCTTTATATTTAGATGTTCTGGATTTGTAATGTGATTCTTAGATAAAAATAAATGCTTGTTTATGTAGAATCAAATGGAATGTAACATGATATATATAGGATCTGACTTAGAAGAAAGAATTACAAATTATCTTATTCATCCAAATAGGATATATTACATCATCAAGGACACTTTTGAGTAGAAACTTGTAAATAAATATGAACATTAATTGGAGAAAAAATTTAAAAATCACATAGAAGAGGACTTAAAAAAAAGATTTTAAAAACTAAGGCTAATCTTATGGTTTAAAAAAGAAAAAAAGTAAGAAAGAAGTTGAGTATGAATAAATAATTCTATCATCATTTATAAAAGGCATTAACAAAGCTTTATTTGATGTTAAAGTTCTTTAAAAACTTTTTAGATTTGTATATTTTAGAATTAAAAAAGCATGTAATAAGAGAATTATAAAACTACAATTTGCGTTGCGAAAACTTTATTGTAAAAATTTTTATTTTTGTAAAGGAAAAAATGAATAATGATTAAAAATAAAATTGGAATAGTGAGTTTAAAAAGAGATAAAAGATCATGAAAAGTCCATATCTGTCCACCTCTAGTTATCTTTTATATAGTAAAAGAAATGGCAATCCCTTCCACTACTCCGTATTATCTAAATTTTTTATTAATTTTACTATCTACCTATAAACTGATATCATTTACATAATAATATAACCATCCTTCTTGATATTCCTTTTATAAAACTCTTGAACTTAATATTTTCACCTAATTCATGAATTTTCATTTTCTAGGTTATATTTTTTTCTTCTCTAATTTGATTGAAATCTTCTTAAATTGAGTCTAGACAATTAAATTGATTCAGTAGTAATGGAAAATACTGACAATTTTTTTTTAGATTTCAGGATCAATCAAGTTTTTTTTTTAAACAAAATAAAATTGTAATGTAAAAAACTTGTTTATATTCTATTTTAATAAAATCTGCAGCTTAGCTATCACGTGTTCTACACAATAGTCTAAGATATCTTATTCTATTAATTACCTTAATTAAATTATAAAATCACAAAAGTATATTTTAAATAAAGAAATAACAGAAACATTAAAAAAAAGTATTCTGATTTTGATATTGCATCACATATAGTTAGAGAAAATTCCAAGTTTTAGATATAAAGTTTATATTCCTTATCTGTTATCTTTTTCTTATTAGAATATTATGAATTATTATGTTACTTGGATAAGGAATTAGAGAAAGATGAAATAATGATATATTTTTTGATAAGTTATCATTTCAAATATTTTATAACTTAATCTTAGATTATTATAAAGATGAAGAACCAATGCCAAGATATGTAACAATCAAATATTCTTTTAAAGTTAATGTATAAGAAGCTAGAGTTCTGAAAATGACTTGTATAAACTTACATATTTAACTCACATAATTGTGTATAATTGTAAATTTAGTTACACATAATAAATAAGTACTTTAAATTAAAGATATGTAGAATAATTTTGATTTAAAACTTAACTCAACTCAACTTATTAAGAATACTATGAGAAGCATTTTATATAAAAAGAATTATCAGTTTTCACATATTTATTAAGAATTTAAATAATATAAATGGAAAGCTTTATCAGAAGATTATAAACAAAAATTTATTTGAATAAGCTACAAGTATCATGTTAAGCTAATAAATTACTCTTTATAAGAATATTATTTTGATTAACTGTCTTTATTATCAAATCTTAATCTAATCAAAAATTTGTAAAAATAATCAAGAGAAAAAAGAATTTATACTGAAAAAGAATCTGTTATATAAAATTTTTTTATAAATTAATAAAAGAAAAATAGGAAATAATTAATAAAAATTTATGCATTAATCTTGTGAAATCTATGTTAAGGTATTTAAAATTGGTAATAAAAAATTAAGATCACATAATAAATTTTTGAAATTTTAATATTTTTATAATATGTATTTTAAAGTTATAATATTAAATTTTTATAAAATAATCAGCCAATTTTTTATTGTTATATTTTTTTTATTATTGTATCTTTGAAAAATATTTGACTTAGGCCTAAAAAGATATATATTGTAAAATATAAATTATTAATAGACTATTATTTCATATTTTGCTTATTTATTAGATAAACTTAAGTTTAAGATAATTTATTTATATAATATATAGTATCAGAACTTTTAATTTAATAAATGTTTTAAAATTTTTTAAAGAATTTTATATCACATGATTAGTAATTATATATCATTTTAAAATTATAATAATTTATACTAATATTATAATTAATTATTATATTACCAGCTTAAATTTTAATCAATAATATATATTTTAAATTCAGGATAATAATATAAAAATTATTTAGTTTTAAATACTTGTAATTTTATATAAAATTTATTTTGAAAAACTGACTGATAATTTAATAAAACTTATTTCAAAGAATAAAGTTACCAGTTTATTTTTTCTAAATTTTATTTTTTTAAAGAATTAAAAGATTTTTAAGTGTTATATTTATATTGTTAAGTATAGATTTTATATACTACAGTGCAAAACCTCTATAATAGAAACTTAAAAAAAACATTAATAAAATTTAATCCACTGATTGGATTTTAATCAAATAAAAAAAAATGATTTAAATTTATAAAAATGAATCAATTTATAAAAAAAAGAATTTTTTTCAATTTTGTAAATTATGTAAGTATTGTGTAATATATATATAAGCCAATCAAAAACTAGAATTAAAAATCGTATGAAATAATTTATTTTATTTTATTTTATTATTTCATTATAAATTACATTAGATACATGATAATAAACTTATATTTTTTTAGTTGCAACTCTGACATTTTTCTAATATTACCTTTTCTATAAATATTTATAAATCACCATGATTTTTATATATATTTTTGAATTGTAATTAAAGAAACTTAATTTAATACTTTAGAAAAAATTTATATAATCCAACCTATATATAATTGCAATATTCTTGTATATTTCTTTTGCTATACCCTAATACATCTTTATATATTCAATTTATAATAATATTTAAGTTAAATATATATAAATGATAAAAAATCATTCTTATAAATTTATTATCACATATTTTTAGTTTTTATAATTAATTTTGAATAAATTTAATCTGATATAATTTTATCAATATTAAAGATATTGTAATTCTAATCTAAGATTCTTAAAATATAGGTCATAATTTATTTATTTTATGGATTAAATCTTCAATTTTATATATAATGAAATTTTTTTTTGCATTTTAAATTTGTTTTATTTTTACTATAGCAAAGTTCCTATTATAGAGATTTTGCACTATATAATAAATCATATATTATATATTATTTCATAATACATAGACATATATTATCTTTTATTTGACTCTAGATAGGATTTGATTATAAAATTAATTTCAATTTGATTTAAGAATCAAATTTAAATTGAAATTAAACTAAATCAAATCAATTTTTAGATCAGTTTAGATAGTTAATCTATATAAATACTATATTACATAAATTATAAAATGTGTTAATCATTTTAATTTAATTATTTTCATTTTGTATTATTATTTATATTGCAAAATGTCTAGCAGCAGTAATTATTTTTTACTGTGCAGCCTGTGTGTGCCATATAATGAGAGTCAGTGATGCATACTTTTTTAGAAAGAATGTGCGTAATACGTACAGTTTGTTACAGAAAAATTATAATAAATTGTATGCCATAATTTATTTTAACAGATAATTTATCTAATTTATCTATTTGTTATATAAAATAATTTTCCAAATTGTATGCCATCCACACAGTAATTTTTATTAAAAAATTAACACTGTCTAACAGTTTAATTTCAAATGAAATGATAATAATTTTACAGATGTTTCTTCAACTTCTTTAGCAATTGAAGAAAATTTCTATATAATAATTTACAAGTCAGATATATAATATTTTTTTTAAAGTTTAAAATGAAAAAACTAGACTAATAACAAATTATAAATATATTTTATATGTTAAAATTTTGTTCACCTGACAATTCAATAATTATCCTTCAAAAATATTTAATTAAAAATATTTATTTCATTATAAAAACTGTAATTGTTAAATTACTTTGAATAAAATACATTTTAAACTT